CTGGCCACCGCTGGCTGGGTAGCTGAGCAAAGTGGGGTACTCAGGCAGGCTGCTCCCCGAGAAGTTGTTGAACTGGGCCTCCCGGGAGGGCGGGTTCCGCCAGGTGCCCGTGCTCCACTCCGTCTGAGCCTTCTGGAAGCTTCCACCTGCACCTCGGTAGATCCTGTGCACCTGCAGCACGGAGGCCGGAGAGGCAGGGGTGAGCGGCCCACGTGCCGCCTGCCGGCCGAGTCTGCAGGCAAGGCCCTGGTGTCCAGCCTTGCACCCCACCAGGTGCAGAGCCATGCTGCATGCAGGACGGCCGTTCGACACCAGCAGCATAAGGACCCCTCCGGTCGCACGAGGGTGGCCGCTCCGCACGGCCAGCAAGGCCTCCCGTGGTTTCTCCCTCGCCAGAGGCGTGTGCGCTGGCCAGACAGGAGGACATGCCCCTGGTGGTCCCAATCCACCTCTGCCCTCCGGTCTTCCTGGGGGTCCTGGCACGTTTTGCTCTTCCTGGGGGTCCTGGCACGCACGCACACGAACACGCACACCCGGGCTTGGCGTTTCTCAAACTCCTGGACCTGGAGGTTGTCGACCACGTGGGATCTGACACCCCCGAAGCTGTCTAAGGCGATGGCGGGGCTTGTGCCAGCAGCGTGGCGCGTGTGGCCACCAGGCTCTGTGGGTGCAGGACACCCACGTCGCCCCGCAGCGCATCTGCATGGCTCCCATGGCTCCGGGGCACCCTCCTGGGCAGACTCCTGGGGCTGGCGGGCGGGCCCCAGCACCCCTGGTGGCTGAGGCCGCCTGCCCCGGCCCAGGCTGCCCTGTCAGTCAGAACAGCAACGGACCATGCTGGGTGTTAACTGGTACACCGGGCCCTCAGCCCAGCGGACGCCTCTCCTCCAGGACCGGCCTCTGTCCCCTTTCCTGTGGGGTGTGGACCGAGAGCAGGGCCGGGCTGGGGCCAGGAGGCCTCACCCATCCCAGCAGGACACCTGGGCCCCAGCCCTGCGGCAAACCTGGGGTGTGTGTCCAACCCCCGTGTCCTGCTCCTGGGACCCCGTACACCCCGGCGGGGCTGCGAGCCGCCTTAACGGCCCTGGGCCAGCTCACAGCCAGTCGACAGGTCGGGGAGGGTCCTGGAGGTCGCCCGGTGCCCGAGCCTGGCCAGGATCAGCTGCCGGGATGCAGGGAGAGCAGTGGGCGGGGCCGGCGGGCCGGGACTCACCTTCATGATCGCGATGGCCATCATGGCGGCCGACAGGGAGAACATGATGGCGGGGAGGAGCATGACCACGGCGGCCCCCACGCACGTCTGGAAGAAGG